AAATATCTTAATTTTGATTAACAACTGATTAGTATTGGTTAAGCAATGATTTTTAATACAGAGTACCCGTAATTCTGTGGAGTATTGGCTGGAGGCTAGGGCAAGCAGCCGATGGAGGCTAGGGCAACCCGGATGCTGCCGTGTCTCCCCATCATCATCCAAATATTGATCCAATATAATTGATCGCACATGCGCAGTCGTGGCGTTGTGTGTAGATTTGGACAATCTATGTAGATCTCGTAGCAACGATCAATTGTTCTGGTTGTTTCATTATTTGGACGAAATGCCAATTGCAATTCAAATCGCACAGAATACTTCGTCTTCTCCCTAGCTTTCGTCTAGGGTTTGTCTTTTCCGACAGGCGACTTGCGTCTTTTCTTGTGCGGCAAATGATTTGGAGCAACATCGGGATGGCGGCCGTTACCGCGCTATGCTGTTCTGCTTCTCTATGGTATATGTTTCTGGATGTGCTAATACAACAACAACAACCATATCCAAGCCTTAATCCCAAAAGATTTTGGGATCGGCTAACATGAATCGAACCATGATATCCGAGCCAAAAAGAGAAGACAAACAAGGAAAAAAGAAAAAGAAAAAAAATAAAGTAACATAAAACAGATAAGATAAAAATAAATACAAGATAACAATAACATAAGAACATAAGAAAGATAAAACAACATAAAAAACTACTCCCTCCGTCCCATTAGACTTTGCCAACTTTTCCTTTTTTGTTGTCCCAAAAAAACTTTGCCACTTTCCAATTAAAACAACTAATTTGTGTTTCTCTACATTTCTTTCTCCTCTGCACAAATCTCAACCACACAGTTTTTACTATTCTTATTTCTCACCTACTTTGCACTTGGCAAAGTCCACCGGGACGGAGGTAGTATAAGATAAAAATAACATAATAATATAAAAATATAAGGAAGACAAACGACAAAAGAAAAAGAGAGAGGAAAGTTAGAAAAGAAATCAAACAGTCACAAGAGTGTGCGCTCTCCACTTTGCTCTCTCCAAAGTCATACTCTCGTCCAACCCAAGAAGACGCACAACAGTTCATTCTACCTCTTATCTCCACCTCTCAAGTCGTCTAACAGGTGCATCACTTGATCTTCTACACACATGACCAAACCATTGCAAACGAGACTCCCACATCTTATCTTATATAGGTGTTACTCTCACCTTTTGTCTAATTATCACATTCATCAAGCGGTCTTTTCTGGTATGACCACACATTCAACGCAACATGCGCATTTGTCACACGCATCTTTTGAATGTGACATTGATTCACCGTCCAACACTCTACGCCATACATTAATGCATGCCTAATTGATGTTAGATAAAATTTACCTTTTAGTTTAGTCGGCATACCGCAATTACATATAAATCCCGATGCACTCTTCCATGTCATCCAATCAGCTCTGATTCTATGGGATACATCTCTATCTAATTCACCATCCTTCTGAATGTGCTGATATGGATGGAATTTGGAGGTATGTGATCGATACCTTTGAATGTAAAATCTCCCGGTCAGTTCCGTTTGGCTTGATCGTTGGAGGGGGGTGATTGGGTCTGTGTTGGGCGCAGGAGACAAATGGATGGGACTACTAGGTTGGGTCCTATTTGGATGGATTTCACTTCATGGTGGAGGTGATTGGGAGTGTTTAAGTAAGGCAATTTATGGATCGAGTCGGAGAAGACAGATCGCCTGTCCGTCCTCCTCCTGAACCACCGCCCTGGAGCTTGGAGTAATTATCAGTTATTTTATTTTTTATGATCTTACTTTCGCATTATGTTTGTTTACGTTGCTCTGTATTTTGTGGTTATCTTTAACTTTAGGTCTGCATTAATGATTGACAACTCTGCTAGATATTATGTCGTTAGAAGGATCTATATGACCAGTGATTGATGTGTCACACCCGCTTGACAGTTAGCGGTTCATGTTGCTCTTTCAGGGGTGATTGTTTCTAAGTCTAATTGTATAATTGATAATGTTAGTTGGTTACAGATAATTATTGTCAGTGTTAGTCTCTTTGAGTTTGTTGTAATGACCCAAATCTTAATGATATAAATATCAACGATTTTTCCTTTCAAAAAAATTAATGGGTCAAATGAACGAGAATGATTGGGAAGTGGCAATCTTTGTCTAAGAGGTGTCTTACTCTAAAATCATCTCATAATGACTTCATTTTCACTTTTAAAATAAAATCTTTCTTGTAGTAGACCAAACAATTTGTCAAGAGTTTTTCTTCAATCTTATTGCGCAAATCATTCTTGAAGAACATCTAATGTTCGGCCCTTTAATACCTTTAGAAATCGGTATATAAAGTCATTTCATAGGAATTTTTTGTCAAACAATCTAGAAAGGCTAGAGTTGAATTAATATGAGTATAATTGTAAAAATAGCATAATAAGAAGCTAAATCAATCAATCATCCCTCGATTGCATTACAATTAACAATTTAATAAATAATAATGATAATAATAATAATAATAATAATAATCTCTGTTCTGAAAATCGTTCTAGGCATCCGACTAGTCCCCGCATAGGCGCTAGGCGGTGGCCGGGCGCCCCAATTTTCGTCTAGGCGCTCCGACTAATTGGTTTTCCGTCTAGGTGAATTAGTCGGCCGCCTAAGGCGCCTAGTTGCCCGCCTAGAGCGCCTAATCGGCCACCTAGGCCGTCTAGATTCGCCGAACATTATTTTACTTTTTAATTTTAATTTTCTAAGCGATATATGTACTTTAGCTTTAGCCATGGACATAAAGAGATGAAGTTGTAAATTAAGATAAAACTATATATGTTTATATATACCTAAATTTCATCATTATTTACATTTATAACATAATAAAGTTAAGTGATTAGTTATCATATACGAAGTACTATGTATGATTAAACGTGAATTCTATCATTCATGTTTGTTAATGTATATGTATTTTATGCACACAAAAATACAATATTACTTATCTTATTTTTGCAAATATGTCGACAAAAATGCAATTACTTTGTCTCCGACTAGTCCCCGCCTAGCCGCCTAGGCGCTGGGCTGGCGCCCGACTAGCGCCTAGCGCCTTTTAGAACACTGATAATAATAATAATAATAATAATAATAATAATAATAATAATAATAATAATAATAATATAAAAAATAAACTCCACAATAACTTGCACAAAAATTAACAAGTTATAAAATTGGATTAAAAATGAATAAACTCTACAATAAACTTGCACAAAAAATTAACAATTTCATAAATGGAAATAGTACTACGTAATAATTAAACTACACAATAAATTCAAAAACTTACACACAATGGGAAAGGGAAGGCTCTGATGGCCACAAAGGTTCGCACTACCCAACATCAAGAGGGCCCTAGCAAACTAACGAGTAAAACAAAGGAAACGAGAAAGCTTTGGATGTATTTGACTAGTTCGAAAGACATTTTTCCTCCGAGAGGGTTACGATTTAATTAAAATCGACTCCAAATGCTTCAAATTTGATTTCCAGGGCTTGCTCATAACAATATTGGAAATTAAAAAAATCTTCGAAAAATGTCACTGACGACCTTGGATGCAACGATCTGGCTTCAGGATTCAATTGCAGGTCATCTCCGAAGAAACAAATATATTAATTCGAGGCACAATAGGTTTTTGACCATTAACTTTGCAATAAATATTTTTTAAGAGTTCTTTCGTATTTCTCAAACCAAGTGACATATACTCCAATTGGCAACAATTTTCCGGGACTATTTGGTTTTTTAATACGACATGTTTAATTTGTAGGAGTTTCCCTAGAGTAATGTTTTCACTCCCATCGGAGTAAACATTTTTAATCATGCGGTGAAAAAACGCTTTCCACAAATTTTTTAAACTGTTGAAAAATTGAAGTTACTCAAGATTTATAATTGAGGGTGAAAAACTAGATATATTTGGTATAATGATTGAGAAGAATAACTTAGTATCGAAAGTCATCAACAGAATTAGTACGAGCGGGACCCCAACATCTGTATAAATAAGTCTAGACGTCTAGAACTCGAAACAGAGGATTTTGCAAACGGTCAATTATGACTTTTATTACTTGTACACGAGACACATATAGAAGTATCCTTAGTAACATTATGAAAAGAAATAACTAATGAAGAGAGATTTTTGTGGTGATAAGAAGGGTAGGACGTCCTAAACGATAATGCCAACTAGTAAGTGATTTTATGTTTGTGTGATGTTAACTGTATGAGGTGGGGGGGGGGGGGGAGATCTGGTGAACGGTAGAAATCTTCATTATTCATACCCCGTAACAAAATCGATCCTATTAGCTAGTCCTTAATAAGACAAAAGAAAGGGTGAAATTCAATTAGTATGTCATTATCACGACATATTTTGGCCATGGAATATAGATTGGTATGAATAGAAGGGACAAAAGGAGTACTAAAGAGAGTGTGAAAAGCCATATGCCCAACTTATGCAATCCCAAGAACATTAATGATTTCAAGTTGTCGGTGACATGATTAGTTTCTCTAGAATCAAGTAGTCATCCATTGTGATAATTAGTGTGGCACTATTGACTTGAGGAGGGTAAACTTGTTGTTCAATCGATGCTAACAATTAAGAGCGAGGATGATTATTCCCACGTCAAGGCGGGTTGTATTGATTAATGGGTTTCTGATTTTGAAACTGATTGTGGGCATGAATATTACCTCGACTGGACTAGTTTTGAGGGTGAAACCAAATTGCTTCTGGCTGCAAGAGCATGTGCATCACTTGGGTATTCCTTCACTGGCAATGGCATAATTCACAGTACTACAAGTGATGAAGTCAGCGAGTTGTTGACCAAGGTAGAAGGACCTTTGGGAAAGAGAGTTGTTTGGCCGTCAGATGGATTTTCGAGGTCCCCTTGTTCTTGGGGATCCTCAAAATAGACATTTTCGGATCTGCCGATAGTTATGGCAGAAAGAGGCTCATTAGAGCTCTATGGCTCTCATAGCATAAAGAATAAGAGAACAAAAGACTTTGAATTGTGTTTCTACATGCATTTAATGCTTAGAAGTGTTGCTATTTATACAAGTACAATTGTACAAAGCGTCTCTATAAGGTAAGCTATTAAACTATCTTAAATGACAAAGAGATGTTACAGTTATAACATTTAATTACAATAATACTATGCATTAATTATAATAGCTGATTTGATTTATTGAGTCCCTTCTATAGTAGTTGAATGGTAGCGAAAGGAAGATAAAGGAAGTGATGAAAGACAAAAACATGGTGATCCTCAGCTTTGTCTGGTCTTGTCTACTTGGGGAGTCCACTAACTAGCACCCCAATGTGGCGGGCGGTCCGAGCATTTGATGACGGACCCCCTAAAGATGGCTTTATAGACAGGCCCTCCATCATGTGCTTTCTTTTTGTTGTTTATATATTTTTGCGCATTGTTAACTTCTCATCTATTCTTGAAGATCGAGAGATGGTTGACACTCGAAAGGTTCTCCTCGGTGACGAAAAGGAAGCCGAGAAGGAGGCCAAGCGAGTTGAGAAGGCTCGCAAAAAGAAGTGGCTTCCCAGTATCCCCCCCCCCCCCCCCCCCCACTGTGGAGGTCGATGTAGGGGTCAAGGATGGGGTCGTAGTGTTGCCGAGGTGTAGCCAACACCCCATAAGCCGGGGGGGGGGGGCTATGGATGGCGGCATATTTGGGCATGAGCTTGTATCAAGGGCAATGCCAAAGGTCGGTCGTGCTAAGGTTTGAGCTCTCCCGGACAAGGAGTTGTTCACTAATGGCTTCAACACTCTTGCCAAGGTAAGCCTTCGGCGTTGCTTCCCTCCCTCCTCTCCTCTTTCTCATTTATACTTGTGTTCATTTGCTTGTTGATTCTTGTAGGTAGTATTCCTCGCATTGTAGTCCGGGAAGAGGAAGTGTTCATAGTCTAAGGAGTTGGGCAAGCTGAAGAAGAAGCACGTGGGCACGGATGAGGTGATTGCCCGCTTCACAGCCACAAAGGCTGAGGTTGAGAAGCTGCAAAAGAATGTGGAAGAAGATGCCCGGGAGGGGTAGGCTTTGGAGGCCAAGCTCAAGTTAGCCAAGGAAGCAAAAGAAAAAATTAACGGCACTGCGGAGGCCAAGCTCAATTTGGTATTATACAATGTATGATAATACTTCTAACTTTTTAAGGGGCTAAATGCCTAATGGACATCAGAAATGGAAGTGAAGCAACAATAGCTTTTATTACACTTAGGGGAACTTGACAAGTAGCTTTTATCTAAGCTACCATGGACATCTCAGGAGGTTACCACACTCAACAGGTTTTTAGTATAGCTGAACCATTGTCATTCTTGTTCGGTTTTAGATGAGGACACATGAGTGACATGAGCAACACATTAGAATTGGGTGGTAATTTGGGAAAAGAGAGCCTTAAAATCCTTGGTCGGTGTTCCAGCGCCCTCTGGTTTTGATGACAAATCAAATGCCTTGAATTTTGACTCCTCAAACTGTAGTGCCTGCCAACACAAGACAGCAGCATCTGAATATAAACCCTAATGTGGTGCTAACAATAGCACTACCATATGAAATCAAGAATATAATACGGAGTATATAGTTACCTGGATGCAGACTTCAGCAACATCAGCCCTGGGAATAGTTCTTGTCTCCGTTTTAAGCAGTTCATCATCTTTCCCGATGAGCAGTTCACGAACACCACCTTCTCTATCTAGCAAGCCCCCAGCTCTGAACAGACCACATACGCATAAATGACAATTATACTGAGGGGAGCCAGATATTAAATATACCTGGTGTGGTGGAACAAAAATTTAGTATCAAGAGGGCCAAATATGGGGGGGGGGGGGCTTCCATCCCTCCTAGCTCCAACATTGACCCAACGGGGGGTGAACTGGTGAAGGGAGTTATCCATTTCTTTTTAGAAGCATTTTTGTGTTTTTTTTTGTTTTAAAAAAGCTAATAGCCTAATAGACAATAGTAATGTTATTAAGTTGGTGCTCTTGCATATTAAGCACTTCAAGTCTTCAAACCTATAAACCATAGGACTTAGGAAAAGGGGGCTTAAAAAATCTGCTTTTCACATTTTTGATAATGTTCTATCCAGTTAATACACCAAAAAATGTTTTTTGCCAAACACTCCATCTACTTCTACTTTTTAAAAATCTTTTATTATATTTCCAAACACTATAAGTTTTTACCACTGAACACTTTGTCTAGAATCTCTAAACTAAATAACCTCTCATAAGCACAAGCAAACACAAACACTAATTCAATGCAAACACACAACCAAAATATAAAAACAATTCAATGCAATGACCAAGAAAATCAGAAATTTAAATCATTGATAATTTTGAATAAATAACAGCATGAAGCTAATCAGAGAAGTCGAGAACCAGCCTGCTTTCAAAAACCTTTTTATTGGAAGGTAAATTTTTATGACGACATACCTTATAATGGTATATGAGATTCCAGACTCAGCCAAATACTCTTCAGCCTTTCTCTTCCAAATCTGTAATTCTTTTAGTTATAAATTATGAACCAGAACAATTTATTAAAACAAAATTTGGGCAACTGCGAAAATAACGCAGGGAAACAAAATAGAACCTAATTAAGAAGTACACCTGTTTTGACATTCCCAGTTAACGATAAAAAGAAAGTAATGTAGAAATGTTTTGAACAAAATAATGTTTTGAACAAAGTAATGTAGAAGATAATAATCTATAGTTAATAGTTAATACAATAACCTTGTACGATAAGTGGGAAACACAAATGAGTAATTACTAGCCATGTCAAGCGCGGTGGACAGGCATGGAAATGTTGAAATGTATTGGTGCAGCCAACATTCAATATCTAAATTAGCAGCTATGCTAGCAAGAATATAATAATACACAGTTCTTAAACTTGGAAGTTGATGTGGTCTTGTAAAACACGTCTAAGCAATAATGTTTTCCCAACACGGGAGCAATGTGAAGAAGGATTGGGGGAGTGAGGAAGTTTCACTTATGTGTTGGAGAAAAGAAGGAAAAATTCAACACAAGCAAATAAGGAACCCACAAGGGGAAATTAAAGATAAATTATGAAGTGGTAAGCAAACCAATATGTTTCCATTTCCTATGCTGTTTAATGGGTTGCTGGGAACTGTTCCCCCCATTGATCCAACAAGAACAATGTGCTTTACCCCCGCGGCCATGGCTGTAAAAGGAAAATGCGTTTGTCAAATAAACATTATTCTAAACAATCAGCTAGCTAAAGATTAAAAAACATAACCCTCACCAGCATCTATTTGATTCTTTTGACCAATCCAGTCAACCTACAAAAGAACCAATTGTTTGATAGGTTGCAAAAGATTTAAGAAAAAAACAAGCTTGAATAATAACTTTCAGTGTTCAGTTCACCTGTTCAGGAAATTGCCCATCTTCGAAGTATAGCTCGGGCCGTTGACCTTTAGTAGGATCAAAACCAGGCTTCATCTTTGGCACGGCACTTGTAAGAATTATTAGGGCATCAATGCCTTGTACTGCAGGAACTATGCTATCAGAATTCCTGATATCTCCTAGATAAACATCATCTTCACCACTGATTTTGTTCTTACTCTCTTCTGTTCTCACCAAGCCTCTTGCAACAAACTGGTCAGTCCTCTCTTTCAACTTTGTGTAAACAATTTGTCCTGTGAGCAACACCAAAGCATGTCAATAAGAACTTTCTGGAACACTGGCTTTTCCTCTCATTTTGCACACGCTAATCACGACCGGAAGCAAAGTCTTACTTGTTGGGAATTAGAATTTAGAGCATGACTATTCATCCAATATTTTTATGTTTAGTAATGTTTCCTCAAGTTTAACTTTCCAAAAAACAAAAACAAAAACAAAATACAGATAAATCAACAAAACTACAGTGGAAACAACCCCTTGAAACTCGAGAATAAGAAAAAAATTAGCAGCGAAAATCTCAAATTGCATAGATAGATTCATCATGAGGGCAGATAAAACAATACCCTCGAAACCTCTTTAACCATAATTTCGGTAACAGCAGCTCCATGCACTAAGCCCACACGGTAATAGCAGGAGTTGATTGAAGGTCTTACCGGTTCTACCACCAGCCCCGGTAACAAGAACGGTGCTTTTGCCATCACTGGCCATGGCCGAAGCTGAAAATCTCCTAAAACGGCAACTTCTGGTTGTGAAACTGAAGCGATGGAGAGAAGTCGCCGCTGGAAGTCCATTATATAGTTGGAGCGTCAGCCACCTACATCTGCGGCTCGTTGATGGAGGCGCTGTAGGGAGATGTGACAATGCTGCCATTGCTCTGGATTACGTGTATGCGAATTTCTGGAGTGATTGAGACCAAGAAGCAAGCAAGTACCAAAGTACCAGAGGTTGAGCACGATTGAAGGTGGCTAAGCTGCCACTGAAATTCTTACCGCTGGAATTTTCTACTCCGTACATTTTATTACTGCATCTATTTTTTGGTAAAATCTAGTGCCGCGGCATTATAGCCGTATCTACTCTTGATACTGCGTATATCAAAACAAACATGACGAATAAATGTACAAGCATGTTTGGTAACAGGAAAATCGGCTGATTTGGCTGATTCTGTCGAAATTTATGAAGTTCTGGCTGAAGTGACTGCATTGGTTGATTCTGCTGATTTAAGAAAAAATTATTTTAAAATATATTTTATTAATAAAATAAAGAAAAAATTAAATGTAAAAATAGCCAAATGGCCATCTACAGTAACTTCAACCAATACAGTCAGAAAAGTAACTCAAATTTTACTTTTTCTGCTTATTAAGCAATTTAGCGAGCGAAAGCAAAAATTACGTGTTTGGTGAAAAAGTTGGCTGATAAGCCTGATAAGCCGAAAAAAGTGTTGCCAAACGGGCTCGTAATATTGAAGGATTTTTTTTTACTAATACATCCACAAAAGAATGTGTAAATAACTTTAATATACGGAGGGAGGGAATATATTATGTATAAGATTTCTTAATGACCAAATGAGCAAAAATTTTTTAAAAGGACTTGTAAAAAGACTAATCGTATGACATATAGCACATCATATCCTATTATTTACAAGTATCAAAACATTTGCAACGATACTCTAGTTCAAAAATATCTATGACATTTCTATGGACCGTAATGGCTTGTAGCAAGCCCTCATAAAGTTCAGTTCACATACTGAATTTATTCTCAAATAAATTTCATTCATTTTTGTTTATCCATCTTAATATAAATTCTTTTTCTTCTTATGACAAAGAGTTTATGATTCACAACATTTCTCTCTTCTCTCTAATAGTTTTAAAATTCAAGGAGTTTTAAGACTAAGTGTGGAAAATTAATTAAAAAAAGATTCTACCAAATTAACGCGTAGTATCAGTTAAAATAAAGATTTAATTCTCATGTAATTTAAATATTTGCGATGTTATTTGTTTATTTAGAGTTATGTTGATAAAGTAAGAGTTTTGCAAAAATACTTCGTATAAAAAATGCGAAAAAGTATGAGAGAAAAATATAAAACACAATCTCTCCTTCTCTAATTTGTTTCTCCATCAATAGTTTCCCGCTGTCCTCCACATTATGATTCATTGGTCTTCTTGCCACACTCAAAATGAGTCATTTATTTCTTGGGTGTATCCTTTTACTATAAATGTCCACTCGCAACCAAGAACCATAAGACTTATCCCCAATCCAGGGCCTCGAGCGTGTTAGTAAATGAGATAATTCAAAAGTTTGTTAAATAGTTTGTTAATCAGATTTGTTAGTCAGTTAGCAGTTCTATTACATATACTTGTATTTCTTCAGTTTTGCTAGACATTGAAAATACGAAGCTCCCTTCTCAGCCTTCATTATTCAACTTTCTCTATTCATCTTTTCTAACCTCTGCAATTAGTCGTCTTCCCCAACAAACTGGTATCAGAGACCAGAAGATCGAAGGGAAGAAGCTGCGAAATTAAGATGAACAATACCGTGTTTCCTGCTACACTTCCGGTTCTCGGCGGAAAGAATTGGAGCAGATGGCATATTCAGATGAAGGCCATTCTTGGATTCCAAGAAATTACAGAGATTGTGGAGAACGGATTTCCAGATCTACCGGAAGGTGCGACTGAGGCTCAGAGGCAAATCCACAGAGAAAACAAGAAGAAAGATTGCAAGGCTATGTATCTCCTTCACCACTATGTGGATGAGGTTCATTTTGAGAAGATTTCCTCTGCAAATACCTCTCAAGAAGCATGGCAGATTCTTGAGTCGTGTTATAGAGGTGAAGAGCAGTTGAAGAAAGTCCGTTTGCAGACCTTGAGAAGGCAGTACGAGTTGATGCAGATGGAGACAAACGAGAGAATTCCTGCATACTTCAATCGAATTACCACCATTACAAATGCAATGAAGAGATGTGGCGAGAAAATTACAGAGCAGACCATTGTTGAGAAGATCCTGCGAACCCTAACTCCTAATTTTGATCACATTGTTGTGGCGATTGAAGAGTCCAAGAAGCTTGAAGACCTGAAAGTTGAGAAACTTGAAGGCTCCCTTGAGGCTCATGAGCAAAGGCTCATTGAGAGATCAACAGATAGGTCTGTTGATCAAGCCCTCCATGTTCAGACCACAGGAAGGGGTGGTTACAGGGGAAGAGGGGGTTTTAGAGGCCGAGGGAGAGGAAGGGGTTACAAAGGGAAGGACAAGAATTCTCAGCAACAAAACTCAGATAAAGAAGAGAAAGATCAGCCTGAAAGCTCATCAAGAAGGGGTGGTTTTCAGAACTGGAGAGGAGGAAAGAAGAAGGTAGATAGAACCAAGATTAAGTGCTTCAATTGTAACAAGATTGGACACTTTTCCAATGAATGTCAGGCTCCTCCTAATCAGTACAATCAGAAGGCAGATGAGGCACATTTGGCAAAGGAAGAAACTGCAGAAAAGGTGGAAGATGATCCAGTTCTACTTCTGATGACTACACACCAAGAACAAGGGTCACATGCTGATAAAATCTGGTATGTTGATTCTGGTTGTTCTAATCACATGACGGGTCATAGAGATTGGCTTGTGAACTTTGATTCCAACAAAAGGAGAAGAGTTAGATTTGCTGATAATAGAGTTATTATGTCTGAAGGAACTGGGGATGTTATTGTGAAGAGGAAAGATGGCAGAAATGCCATGATTACTGATGTGATTTTTGTGCCTGGCATGGAAAGTAATTTGATCAGTTTAGGTCAATTGCTAGAAAAAGGATTTACTGTGAATATGCATAGCAGACAGTTGAATTTGGTTGATGGTTTCAATAGAAAGGTCTTAACTGCTCCTCTTTCACAAAATAGAACCTTTAAAGTTGACTTGAATGCTATTGAAACTCAATGTTTTAGTGCTGAACTGCTGGATGATGATAGTTGGTTGTGGCACATGAGATTAGGTCATCTGAATTTCAGAGATCTTAACCTCATGAAAGCTAAGGAAATGGTCCTAGGTTTGCCCTCAATTCATGTTCCAAAGAAGATTTGTGATAGTTGTATGATAAGTAAACAGTCCAGATCTGCATTTGGTAGTTTTGCTGCATCTAGAGCTGATAGTCTACTGCATGTTGTGTATTCAGATGTGTGTGGACCCATGGAGGTTCCTACTTTGGGTGGAAATAGGTACTTTGTTACCTTTGTTGATGAGTTGAGCAGAAAACTTTGGCTTTACCTGATTAAAGCTAAAAGTGATGTGTTCAGTGTGTTCAAAATGTTTAAGTGTTTGGTTGAAAAGCAATCTGGTAGTTGCATCAGAATACTCAGAACAGATGGTGGGGGAGAATATTCTTCCAGAGAATTTGGAAGTTTCTGCCAAAATAATGGAATAATGCATGAGGTTACATCACCTTACACTCCACAGCATAATGGAATTGTAGAGAGGAGAAACAGAACAGTTCTAAATATGGTGAGAAGCATGCTAAAGAGTAAAGGGTTGCCATTAAGCTTGTGGGGAGAAACTGCAACCACAGCAGCTTATATTCTGAATCATTGCCCTACCAAGAAGTTGGAGTTCAAGGTTCCTGAAGAAGTCTGGTCAGGAAGGAAACCTTCTATTAAACATTTCAGAATTTTTGGCTCTCTCTGCTATATAAACATGTACCTGAGCAAAGGAGAAGAAAACTTGATGATAGAAGTGAGTCTATGGTGTTTATAGGATATCATCCAACTGGAGCCTATAAATTACTTGATCCAAGGACTAATCAAGTGCATTATAGTAGAGATGTTCATTTTGTAGAGTCAAGTTGCTTGAAGGAAGAAACTCAGCAAACAGATTCATTTGTAACACTTCCTCTTGACTCAGAAGTTGGTGAGACATATATGAGGTCACAAACCACTACTAATCCTGTAAGTAATGAGTTTGGTAGACCTAGAAGAGCAAGAAATTGTCCTCCTAGATTGAATGATTATCAGTTGATACCTGATAATGCTATTACTGATGATGGAGAGCTGGTACAACACATAGCATTGTTTGCGGATATGCAGCCAGTTGATCTCCATGAAGCATTAGATAGTGAGGTTTGGAAGAAGGCTATGGATGAAGAACTGAATTCAATCAATAAGAACAAAACCTGGGAGTTAGTTGACCCCCTACTGATAAATTACCTGTTGCAGTGAGATGGGTATTCAAGACAAAACTCAATCCGGATGGTACCATTTGCAAACATAAGGCAAGATTGGTAGCCAAAGGGTTTATGCAGAAAGAAGGAGTTGATTTCACTGAAGTATTTGCTCCAGTTGCTAGGTTTGAAACAATCAGATTGATTGTTGCTTTAGCTACTGTGAGGAACTGGGAATTGAGACAGCTTGATGTTAAATCAGCTTTTCTCAATGGACCCCTTGAAGAAGAAGTGTATGTTTGTCAACCTCCTGGATATATCATTAAAGGAAGTGAAGATAAAGTTTACAGACTGAAGAAGGCCTTATATGGATTAAGGCAAGCACCAAGAGCTTGGAACAAACGGATTGACACATTTCTATCAAACCTTGGGTTTAAGAAGTGTTATGTTGAGCATGGTGTTTATGTGAAAGTGATGAAAAGTGGAGATATTCTCATAATCTGTTTGTACGTTGATGATTTGTTGATAACAGGTAGTTGTGCTACTGGAATTGAAGATATTAAGACAAAGCTCAAATCTGAGTTTGAGATGTCAGATATTGGCAGATTGTCTTACTTTCTTGGCATAGAATTCTCACAGATTGAAGAAGGGATTCTAATGCACCAGAAGAAGTATATTCATGATGTTCTTGAAAGGTTTGACATGCTGAATTGCAATCCTGCTGATACACCTGCTGAAGCTCAGTTGAAGCTTGACTTGTGTGATGAAGAACCTAAAGTTGATTGCACCTTGTTCAGACAAATGGTTGGATGTCTGAGATTTATTTGTCACACTAGACCAGAGATCTCCTATAGTGTTGGCTT